CAACCTTGAGACTAGTGAAAAACTATATAATTAATTGGAATGAATTCAACATCAACAACTATTTAATTTAATTTATGGAAGAAAATGCGACATACTAGATAAATATTCTGGAAAAATTCGAAGAACAGATCGAGAAAACAAAGCACAGATTCAGATTCTACTCGTTGAGAAGAAGAAAATACATATAAAGAACTTACAAATTGGAGCTAAAATGAAAAAGATGAAAGATTGAAGTTGAAGGTGCAACAATGGTGGAAATCCGAGCTTTGAAGAGGAAGAAGAAGACCTTTTTGAACTAGTTTCGGGCTAAGAATGGTGTATTTGAGTTCACCAAAAATCGGGCTATTTATAGCACCAAAAATCTCGAAGGCCTCCAAACAGGCGGCCGCCTGCCGCCTTGCTCCGGCCGCCTGCCGTCACATCGCACCGACCGGTTGTTCGTTTCGTCGTCTTGTGCCGCAGGCGGTCATCGGAGGCGGCCGCCTTCCGTCCAGTGTCGGCCGCCTTCAGTTTTTCTCCGGTTCGGTCAAATTTCAAAAAAAATTGATTTTTCAAAAAAAACGGCAGGCGGCCGCGCAGGCCTCCATTTTTTGGCCGCCTGCCAGGCTGCCTATGAGTTTATTTGACCATCTTGTTCTGTATTTTGTGCTCTTCAACTTTCCCTTCTGGACCACTTTGAAATTCTGCTTGCTTCTTTCGGTATGCTATCATTTTTCACTCAAATTGACGCATTTTGTGCTTAATTGACCCGAAATTTCGTCAAACATATCATGGACGTGATTTTTACCTGATTTCATGAAACTTGAACCAAAATATATAAAACATGCCTTGTTTTTCTATTTTCCAATCCAAAATTGCTTAAAATTGATAAGAAAAATAAGTACAAAAATGGACTTATCAAAGAACTAAAGGAGAGATTAGACAATAATCACAGGGTACTGAAACAGAATCTAGACCAAAAGTCTTCTCTAAGTGTTCAACTTGAAATTGTGAAAGAACAGGTCAAAAAGGTGTCCTCAGATTTTGAAAGTTTTGAACTGAAGATAGCTGAATTAACTAAGAAATTTGAGGACAGTGAACGAGAGAAAAGCACAGCAAAGGCTGAATGCGATTTTTTGCATAATAAAAGAAGAACACTTTTAAACAAAGTAAAAGAACTAGAGGATCTAGCTGCTAGGAGAGGTCAATCTGAAAAAACAATTTTTCTAAATCAAATAAAGGATGACCGGTTTTACAATCCTAGAATAGGACTGGGCATAACCAACCCATGTAATCTAAAGAAAGTTAATTGTCTTCAGATTTATAACAAAGATTACATGGGACTAGGGTTTGGTGAGAAAATGTATTTTAGAAGTGATGAAGAAAACGCAGAAGCAGAAGAAGAAAAGAGAAAGAACCCTAAAGCTGTGATTTCTTGTGATTATCCTTCTGTTAATGAAAAACAACTCACACACGAAGAACCTAGTTCCTGCTTTAGTGAATGTCTTGACCCTTATGCAAAAGATATTCCACACATAGGAAATCCTCTAGACCCACCCCCAAGAGTTGGTATCTCTAAAACTGAAGAGGAACCCTGTATTTTTCCTATGGCACAAAAACTCAAAAACCTCCAGAAAACTCTTGACAACGAGAGAGAGAGAGATTGGAAACAGAAAAGAGAGGTTTTGAGAGTAACTGGCAGGAACTTCTTCATAAGTTCAATGAATTAAGTGAGCAATGATGGATAGTCTACCCGGGGGTATATATCCGAAGGGTTATTACGGGGAATAACTTAGAGAGAAGTCAGAGCAAGTAAATATAGAGAGAGAGAGTGTATTATAAATGTGGAGCGTTTTCAGCGTTTTTTTAGCCCTCTTTACAAATGGGGAAATGGGGTGCTATTTATAGTAGCAATAAATGCCGGGCAGGGACACGTGTCAAGCGCTCATTGGCCGAGGGGTCACCTCAACTGGTTGGCGCTGGCAGCCGCATGTGGCCGCATTTAATGCGGTTGTTGGATGGGACGTCTGTGCGGGGTACGGTGATCTGTACGCATGTGAGGCAGATATCTTGTCGAGTGAGGTGCCTTCGGCTATAGAGCAGTGACCGAGGGCTCTCCCACCTGATGGCACCCTGGTGCCGAGGGCTCACAATGCCGAGGGCTACTTTTTTCGCCGTTTTCTCCCAGTTTCCTAATTTGCTTGAGAAACCCGCTCTGTGATAATTTGAAGCCTTCGGCCAGGTGGCCGAAGGCACCCCTGTGCGTTATGCGGACTGCTTGGTACTCTGGGCACTGTGATTCGGGCCTGTTGGGCCTGTTGGGCCTTTGATGGAGTAGTAGGAGTCTGTGGGCCGGGGGTTCCCGGGCCATATACTCCATCAGGAGTCCCTCACTCCTTTTGCCGAAAGGTACTTGAGGGAAAAGGAGTAATTTGTGTTTTCCCTTTGATGTTGTCCTGTCGTGATCTCTGAAGTTGGTGAGGAGTTGTTGCTTTTATGTCCCTGCCGAAGGCAGTCCCTCAGTTACCCACATGTCGGGACTTGAGGGCTTGCTTTGTTGTTTGTTGGAATTTCACAGATTTTGTAATTTAATGATTTTCCCGAGGGGGTCCTCCAGTCCCCCACTCCTTGAGGCACTTGTAAAGTGGTGAAAAGGAGTAAAGTAGTTACGTTGCTGTTGTGGGCCGAAGGCTGACGCTTTTCGTTTCATTTTGGGGGGATGCCTCGTTAAAAACCTCATTAGGAAAAACCCTTTGGGAAAAAATCCTAATGAGGGAAAAAGAGTGCACCGAATTCCCCCAATGATGAATCGAGAATGTCAAACCTTGGTACAAAGTGGAGAATTACGGGAATGCCGAAGGCTCTCTCCTCTGAGGGCTCCTGTGTTGATTAGCCGAAGGCTTGCTGTCGATGACCTGGTGGTGCCGAAGGGGAGCCCCTCAATCCAGGGATCGAGGGCCTGCCAGATGAGGGCAGCAGTGAAGTTGTTACCGGGGGGGTCCAATGTCTGTTGATGAGTTGGTGATGAAGATACCCGAGGGCTCCCATTTCCTGTGTGCCATGGGCCATCCGTCAATGGGGCACACCCCGGGGGCTACCCGGTTTTGCAGTGCTGAGGGGGAAACCCCGAGGGGTGCCCTGATATGCAGCCCTAGGGATCTGAAGTGGAGTGAAGTAGAAAACCCGGGGGCTTCCAAAATATAGCCGTTGGAAATATAGCCGTTGGAATATGTAACGACGGGATATAGCCGTTGGGGGGGGGGGGGCACACGTGGCGTGTGATGGCTGGCTGTCCGTGGGCGGCGTCACCGGTTGGGCGAAGACGCGGTGAGTCATGATGGCGTCCATCCGGAGGCCCGGAATCCAGGCCCAAGCCCGGATTCATCGCCTATAAATACCCCAAGGCCAGGCATTCCTCCGTGTGCGATAAACTTGTTAGCGAAGCTCTGTCAATTTTTCTAGAGAGAGAAAGTTCAGCCTTCGGTCAAAACTCAGCTTTCGAGGTCAGTGCTCCCTGCCTTTCTCCTTCTAGCATAGCTGTACTGTGCCCTTAGTTTAGGAGATAGAAAAGTTAGGAAACACTACCGTCCACGAGCCCTCGAACAAGGGTGCGAATGTCGTCCCAGAGTGACTCTCAGGACATCTCGAGGACGCCCTCGATGGAGGACGAAGGCATCTCTGATGTGGAGTCAAGCAGTGGTCAGCCCTCGGATTGTGGTGATGCAGCCCTGGCCCGGGAGGTCCAGAAGGAACTCACTGCGGAGGTTGAAGCCGAGGGCTTCGAGCAGGAGTGTGACGATGAAGACTTAGCCCTCGCCTGGCAGACAGCGGAGGATGAGGCACAGAATGAGAGCTCGAAGGTTACGATCGCTGTCCTCCCCCCTCGGGGTTCCGGGGAGGCCAGTAGCTCGAGGCCGTTGGATCCGATACCTCTGAGGGCGGTTTCCGGTGTGAAGAAGAAGAAGGCCGCTACCAAGAAGAAGGAGAGGGCCGTCGATCAAGGAAAGCCCGTAGACATGCCCGAGGGGTACAGCTGGCTGAACACTGAGGCCCTCGAGATCAGGTCGAAGGCCGACAGGGCAGATCTGTACGTGACTCAGCTGCACGTGGGGCCCTCGGCCGAAGTGGTGGAGCCAGGTCCCGACGACGTGTTGTCCAGGGCGCCCGAGGGGTGTATTGCTATTCACGTCCTTTCGGTTTCCATGGGACTCAGGTTCCCTCTGCACCCATTCCTCCGGGAATATCTGCGGTTTGTTGGCTTGGTCCCCTGCCAACTCACGCCCAACAGCCACTCCTACATTGCGGGGTTCCTCCAGCTCTGCAAGTCCCGAGGGGTGAAACCCAGCCTGGATCTATTCTTCCAGAGCTTTAATCTGTGCCGGGGGGGGCACGAAAACGGCGAGGGGTACGCCAACCTGCAGCAGATTGCCCGCTTCAAACTATTCTCCGATGCTCCTTCTTCCAACAAAGGATGGAGGGAACGTTGGTGCTACGTGAAGTTGGATGAGAGCCCCTTCCCGAGGGAGCTACGTGACCGATTCCGAAGGCACGAAAAGATCCGGAGTGCCGCTCTTGAGAAGGACGGCCTAAAGCTGGCCAAGTTCCCGGAGGGGAAAGACAAGAACGTGGCGATCAAAGACTGCACCCTCGAGGAGGATTTGTACACCCTCGGGTTCCGGAGGTACCGCTTCATAGGGGAAACCGATGAAAAGTACCCTCCCTTCAACAAGGCCTTCGGAGGGGCCGGAGGTAGGAGCCGAGGGCTTTAGAATTTTGTACTTAGTTTTTTTTTTCTTTCTTGGATGTTATCGTCCCTTCGCTTAGACCCGTCGGACTAACCCTTTGTTTCCTCTGTGCAGGTATCCCCGTCTCCATGGTGAATGTAAAGGGCCTTGCCCATTTGAAGAAACAGGACCCGAAGGGGTCGGGACAGGGCATCCAGAAGCCCGCCACCGCCCTCTTTAAGAAAGCCGAGGGCGATGCCGCTGCCGGCAAGAGGAAGGCAGTGGCCAAGGGGTCCCCCCGGCTACCAAAAAGCCGAAAAAGGGGGATGTCGCCGAGAAGGAGCCCTCGGTCATTATCGCTGATGAGCCCCCCGCCTCCGGGGTGCAGGTGGAGAAGCTGCCGGTTGGAACGCCGGCGGGGGCAGAGGAGTCGCTGCCTGAGATCCTCACAGTTGCGTTCCCGAGGGGTATGTCTTTGGCCAGCGGCGCCGTCGACCCGGGGGCCATCCTGAGGGGTATGACCCCTGAGACGGATAGGGCTGCCCTCGGGGCCTACAATGATGCGGCCCTCGAGGACCACATTCTCCGCTCCTCCCTCTCTGTAAGTGTTTACCTGGCTTTCTCCATCTTCTCCTTTGATTATTTTTGTGTGATTGCCTTTAACTGTTTTTGTTGTTGTTCTGCAGGCTTGCTTAGCCCTCGGCGAACAGGCTCGGAGGCTTCAAGAATGGCGCCTCCACAGAGCGGAGCAAGACGCCAGAATGAGGGAGTGCCTCCTCAAGAACCAGGAGGCGGTGAAGCTGGGGGCCCAGCTAGAAGAGGAGCTCCGGCAGATGAGCTTGAAACTGGAGGCTGCAGAGAAAGGCAAGGCTGATGCTGAGGCCGCTGCCAGGAGAGCTGCTAAAGAGGCCGAGGACTCCAAAGCGCTAGCTGTCGCCAGGGCTCAGGAGGAGGCCATTGAGGCCTTTTTCGCCGAGGGTTGGAGAGCCGAGGGGCGCAAGATGTGGGTGTCCTCGGTCGTGGAGGCCTGCGTTGAAGAATGGGCCGAGGGCCGTGGGTGGGAATGGATGGCCCGGAAGGGCAGAGAGTACTATGAAGCCGGCGAGTTCTTCACCCAGGCCCTCATCTACCGGAGGATGGCCCGGCATTTGGGCATCGAGCAAAAGGACTTCTCCCCCTCGGCGTATGGTCTTCCCCCCTTGAAGCCTGATGTTCGTGAGCCGCTCCCGGAAGGTGTTCAGAGGCCCGACCTTGAGGACACGGTGTTGAAGAATGAGGCCGAGGACGACGCTGTCGAGACCGGAGCGGAGGCATCATCGAGGCCGGCTGTAGAGGGCGCCCCAGTGAACGATGCTGTCGTAGTCGTGGAATGATTTTGTACTTAGAAATCTTTGAACATCTTTTGTAATGAACAACATTGTTTCTTCGGCTTCGGCCCGTTTGTAAATTCACACTTACTCTTGTTTTTGATGAAATGCATGCTGCCTCCGGGCTTTTCATACTCGAATACGCCTTATGTTTTGAATGTATGCTCTCTCCTTTGAATGTATGCCTTCGGTATTTTTGAATGTATGTCTAGGACTTAGAATACTATCTGATTGTGGCTAGCCCTTAGGAGCCTTCGGTAGTTGGGCACCCTCTGCTGGATATGCGACCGATGGTTCGGCAGCAATTAGGACTTGGAAAATTTTTCTAAGTGTAGCACACATTAGGGCCTTCGGGTGTTTGCAGTAATCCAAGTCCTAGGACTTAGAAAAATTTCTAAATGTAGATTTCCCCTTGAGAGCCTTCGGGATATGGCCTCCCTTCCTGATGTGTGAATGTTGGGCCGAGGGCCCAATGCACAGGACTTAGAGATTTTTGCAAGTGTAGTATGCCATGTTGCCTTCTGCTAATGTGGAGCCCCACCTGTAATATTGAACAGGCCGGGGGCTAATTCTTTTAGGACTTAGAAGATTTTCTCGAGTGTTGATTCCTTGTGTACCGTAGCCCTCGATTGATAAGTAGCCTTCGGCAATTAGGTCCCTCGAGATGAGGGCGAAATATGTAGGACTTAGAAAATCTTCTAAGTGTAGAGTTTCCCTTGGGAGCCTTCGGGAGTTGGCATCCCTTCATGATGTATGAGTAGCTGTCCGGGGGGGGAAATATGTAGGACTTAGAGAATCTTCTAAGTGTAAATTTCCCTTGGGAGCCTTCGGGAGATGGCATCCCTCCTTGAGGTATGAGTAGTTGACCGGGGAAAAACATGTAGGACTTAGAAAATATTCTAAGTGTAAATTTCCCTTGGGAGCCTTCGGGAGATGGCATCCCTCCTTGATGTATGAGTGGTTGACCGGGGAAAAACATGTAGGACTTAGAAAATTTTCTAAGTATAAATCTTCCTTGGGTGCCTTCGGGTGATAGGTGCCCTCTGATTCCACATCACTTTGCGAGATGCCCGGGGGCTACTCATTCAGGACGGAATACCTTTTTTTTAAAGTGTTGTTGTATTGCATGGACTTCGGCCACCATGTTCCCTTGGCTGTAATATTGATTGGGCCGGGGGCTCCATCTTTAGGACTTAGAATTTTTTGTAGTGCTGCTTCCCTGTGTAGCCTTCCGGTGCCCGGGGGCTGCTCCTTCAGGACTTAGGATTTTTCTAAGCATAAATTGATGTTGAATCCTGTTGTTGTGAAGAAAGCCAATGAGGAGTGTGTGCCCTCGGCATACACTTTAAAAGTTGTAGAATTTGACCCTTGTCATGGGGAAAGGGCCCTCGGTATTCGTGCATAACAGATGCCTTCGGTGTTTGTTTGAAGTACTGTTTAGTGGACCTTGGACAGTCCAGTCCCTTTGTATTGTTGAAGCCTTCGATGTTTTGTGACCGGAGGTGACCAGGTAGTGGACTTTAGCCGTTTCCTGATGATATTTCTTTGAGTAGTATCCTTCGGGAAATAGGAGTCTTCAATTACCGGAGGTGTTCCCGTGGGGAGCCCTCGGCATGCTGTGATATTGTTGGAGTGTACTCTTCGATTTCTCGCTGAGTCTACTCCCCTTCACCCCCTCTTTTTTTTTTTTTTTTTTTTGGTTGGTGGTGAAGGGAAGGCATCAAGAAACTTGGTTTCTTGGTAAGGCTGGGCCTATTAGGAGACCATCAGAATACACCAATGGCTCTCCTCCCTCGGGTTAACCTTCCGAGTGCCGAGGGGATCGAGGGACGTTTCCTGGGCACAAGATATGGTGGTCCGTAACCTGCCTCCCCTTGGGGGATGGCGCGGAAAGCGCCTCATTTTTGAAAGTCGTCCCCTCGACGCTAGACATAGTCTGTGGCCTGCCACACCCTTGGGGTGTTGGCGCGGGGAGCGTTTCAGTTTGGAAGTCGGATCGTGGGCATTTCTCATGCCTGTCATACCCTGGGGGTAATGACGCGGATAGCGTTCCGTTTTTGAAAGTCGAATCCTGGGCATTTCTCATGCCTGTCATACCCTGGGGGTAGTGACGCGGAAAGCGTTTCAAGGAAGGGTTTTCATTTGCACACTAGTTGCAAATGGCCGGGGGCACTACGTGCCGCCGGCACCGATGGTGGCGCCTTCGGTATATGCGTCCTCGTGGGGTACGGCTTTTAGAAACAACACTTGGTGTTAGTTTCGATGTGTAGCCCCCGGTACTTGGTACCGAGGGGTCTTCTGTAGGAACACTTGGTGTTCTCTTGTTGTAGTTGATGTAGGCGTCTACCCTCGGTACTTGGTACCGAAGGGTCTTGAAATGAAACACTTGGTGTTTCCCAATAGATGTTTGGAAGCTGTTAGGAGAGCATATCCCTGGCACTGGGTGCCGAGGGGTCTTCTTTGAAACACTTGGTGTTTTTTCTTCGTTTCGATATTTGATGAGGGAGGTGTACCCTCGGCACTGGGTGCCGAAGGGTCTTCTGTAGGAACACTCGGTGTTCTAATCTTTTCTTTTTTGATGTTGAAGGTGGGGAAGTACCCTCGGCACTGGGTGCCGAGGGGTCTTGACTGAAAACACGTGGTGTATCCACTGTTTGTTGTAGGTGTTGATGGTGTCCGCCCTCGGCAATGGGTACCGGAGGGGGTTCTTCTTGTGGTGAGGCCTGGGGCCTGTAGTCAGTATGAGGGCTTGATGTCTTGAATGTATCTTCATTCTTCGAAATTGGAGGCCTTGGGCCATTGGATAGTACATTCACTAGTTATGAGGGCTCGGCCGCTCTTACATTATTGATAAAATTTAACTAAATGGTGTACATTCCAGTGCCTAGGGACCTCTTTCCCGTTGGGGCGTTTGAGTTTGTAAGTCCCGGGTTTGATAATGGCTGCTATGATGTAGGGGCCTTCGAATTTTGGTGCCATTTTTCCTCCCTCATTTGGTTGGCTGGCTTCCCTCCTCCGGAGGACATAGTCCCCCACTTGAAATACCCGGGTTCGAACTTTGGCGTCGATGTAGCTTTTAACTTGCCTTCGGTAGTTTTCTGCCCGGATGAAGGCCTGCTCCCGGCGTTCTGAAATGAGGTGCAGGTCGAGGGCCATGTTGCTGTCGTTGACCTCGGGGTCATATTGGATCACCCTTCGGGTAGGAAGGGTGACTTCCGTAGGAGCTTTGGCTTCAAAACCGTAGCAGAGGGAGAAGGGTGTTTCACCTGTAGCGCGCCGAGGGGTAGTGCGGTAGGCCCAGAGGATGTTGTGAAGTTCTTCCACCCAGCCACCACCCTCGGCCTCCAGCTTCTTTTTGAGGCCCTCGAGCAAGGTCCGGTTGGCGTTCTCTACCTGCCCGTTGCCTTGAGGGTAGGCAACGGAGGAGAAGGTGTGTTTGATGCCCCATGCCTCCAGAAGGGCACAGAAGGGGGCTGCCTCAAATTGTGTTCCATTGTCGGAGATGATCTGCTGGGAGACGCCAAACCTTGTGAGGATGTTCTTGAGGACGAAGTGACGACACTTCGCCTCTGTGATGCTGGCGAGGGGTTCAGCCTCCACCCACTTGGTAAAATAGTCGACGGCCACAATGATGTATCTGTTGTTGGAGGTACCCCTCGGCAGAGGGCCCACAAGGTCTATCCCTCATCGAGAAAATGGGACAGATGTGCTGATGGGGGCATAGTTGACCGCTGGCCTGCCGGGGGCTTTCTGGAAATGTTGGCATGCGGTGCACCTCCGGGCAAGGTCAGCACAATCCCTGGCCATGGTTGGCCAGAAGTAGCCCTGGAGAATGAGCCTTCGGGACATGGAGAAGGGTCCCTGGTGAGCTGAGCAAGTGCCACTGTGCACTTCCTCCATTGCGACCTCGGCTTCATCTGGATGAAGGCACCGAAGTAGCGTGCCATTGTAAGATCGTTTGTAGAGCCTTCCATCTTCGTTGGTGTAGCTGGGAGCCCTCAGCTTTGCCAGTTTAGCGCGGGCCTCATTCTCGGGTAGCTGCCCTGTGGAGATGAAGGCGGTGATATCTGAAATCCAATCCTCCTGACGTCGTTGTATGTTCATCACGGGGCTTGCATGGATGCTTGAGAGGCTGAGTTCCTCGATTTTGGCAATCTTGGAGATGTGCTCGGGGGAGTCTGCCGAGAGTTTAGATAATATGTCGGCCTCGGAGTTCTGAGCCCTCGGTATTTGAGTGAGAGAGTGTGCCTCAAATACCTTAAGCAACTCCTTGGCCGCTTCCTTGTACTGTTTCATTCTTCCTTCCTTGGCCTCATATTCTTCGGAGATTTGGCCGACGACCAACTTGGAGTCGCATTTGATGTGGATCTGCCGAGCCCTCATGTTGGCAGCCAGCCGAAGGCCACATAGGAGGGCTTCATATTCGGCCTCATTGTTGGAGACTTTGAAGGAGAAGCGGATTGCATAGTAGGCCCTGAAGCCCTCGGGAGTAATGAGGACTACCCCTCCCCCGC